TTTTTTTCCGAAGGATGAGTTCTTCTTAAAGTAAACCAGGTTATAAAAGTATTATTTATTAATACACATTTTATTTATTAAAATTTAAAATTACTCTTCCATTAGAATTTTTTTTCAATTTCTTTATTTTATCTTAGAGATATTTTGCAAATTAAATGACTATATATCTTAGAGTAATTATAATATATTGAACTGTAGAAACAATAAATCACAATAGCCAGGTACATTCTATTGCTGCTTTTGAGAAGTCTTCAAATAGTATCCATGTTTTGCTTAAAAGTTTGTATCATGTTTTGCTTGTTTTTAATTAGGGGTGAATTCATCTTGTTTTTCTGTTTTGAATTTTCTCCTTCTTTTATATTTACATTCAGACCTCTAACTAAACATTATTTGTAACTTCTCAACCAATTCTCCTTGTTTTCTAAACTTCTCCTCATTTCCTCCTTCTCTTTCTCTTATTTTTTTTTACAGCAATGGTTGACATTGAAACTACCGTGATCAGGAAACTCTAATTGAGAAGGTATCTCTTAACTCATGGCTTGATAGGTATGTGGGAGATGGCCAGGTAGAATGTCTAGAGGTGGAAGCATTCTAGCCAAAGATGAAAACGATGCAAATACCCTGAAGTGGCAGAATACATGGCACACTCAAGAAAAAGAGACAATGGTGGCACACCTGAAACCGTTCAAGAAAGAGAGTGGAAGACAAAATCAGAAATGTCACAACCATGACTGTGATGGCTATGCTAAGGACTAGTCTTCCACTTGGAGGTAAATAGGAGTTCATGGAAAGGTTTTGTGAAGAGGTCTGCTTTGGCCAGATGTATGATTTAAGACAAATTATAATTAGCCAAAGTTGGGATCAAGGAGAAAAATTGGACAACTATTTTATCCAGGTAAAAGATAATGATCAATCAGGATGATCACAGAGAAGGGAAGAGATTCATTGATTCAAATGGGGTTGAAGCAGTTGAATAAAAATATGTTATTGGATATATTAAACAGAAGCAATCAAAGTCCCTGATGGAGAGTAAAAGTCATGTAAAAAAGGGGTCAATTAGATATAAAAATCAAGATTTTGGCCATATTAACTCAAAGAGTAGATTTGGCATTCACCAAAATGAAGAAACTACAAATGCAGTTAGTTTGACAGCACAGATCAGATTAGATTTAGACACAGTAGATTGAGACACATGGTAAATCTCTAGGATGATGATATAAATAAAAGAGTCACTATATATTCAGGTAATATTAGAAGACAGCCCAATACGTCATATCAATAAGTGAATTAGTATAGTTAGTGAAAAATATAACCATTCCCTCAATGGCCCATAGTATGTCCTAACTTAAGAGAATTGACAACATATGGTAAATACAAAAGGGAACTAAGAAAGAGCATAGCCTACAGAAATGGAGAAGAGACATGCAATTGTGGTCTTGGAAACCAAATGGAGAAAGTATGCATTCAAGAGGAAAAAGTGGTCAATTTACAGCAAACAACTCATAGGTCTAATAAGATGAGGATAGATTACAGATCACTTCATGGGCTACATGAAAATAATTTATGAATCAGATAAAACTTTTTTGTTAAACAGACATGAAAGATTGAGTGAAGTGGGCTTCAGTAAGCAAAAAAGAAATGCAATTGTAAATGGAAAAAAGAATAAAGAATTACAGAGGACAGTGAGGGCAAGAGTGCAAAGGAGAGATGTTTTTTGCAGTTTACGCATCTGTAAGTAACTGCAGAAAACTAACTCCAAGAAAGCACAGTGAGGAAATTATCAACTTTGTAAAATCAATCTAAGCTTTGCTCCTTGAACTATATTTCTTCACTTCCAACTTCTCTGGTTTCTTCAGTTAATGCTAGTTCTAAGTGAGTTTTCACATATTTTTTTCTGATCCACTTTCAAGGTTTAATAATACACTATTTGGATTTCTGGTGGCAGTTTTTATTGTGTTGTAATGCTAATACATATCTTCAGTAGGAAAAAAAATTCTCATTTAACTTTGTGGTTGACCTCTCTAAGTTGATGTGCTGCAATTTTGCAGTGTAGTTCAATAGTGTTTCTTGAGATTTAATGTCTGTTGCTCTATTTTAATCTCAGGTTATTGCTCAATTATACTGACTAAATGAAGATCTGAGCTCAGAAATATGGACACAAAAGCATCTAGTTTAGAAAAATTCACCATTTCCTATGTGCAGCTGAGGATACAGTGGAAAATGCTTTGCTTTCCAGATTTCTCAAGTCTAGTTTCTTGGTATTTCAGTAGTCTTTTGTTTTCTATTTTAATGATATTTCAGTAGTCTTTTCAAGTAGGAGAGGAGAAGGCTGAGGAAAGGTAGATCAATTGGTAAATAGTTGCCATTAAATAGGAATAAGAACTTCTCCTGAGCAATTCATCTAGATAGTGATTGTGTCCTATGTATTTCCAAGAGCTAGAAAAATGGATGTCAAATGCTTTTTCCATGAAAACATGATATATTTGCAGTCATAGATATGTTTAACCTGATTACAATATGTATATATAACAAAAGATCAAGTGGTATATCCTACAAACATGTGTACTCTTTCATTTTTATGTATTGATTAAAATTAATTTACTAAAATATAAAAATTAAATTAGAAATAGACATTCATATATATATAATATATATACACACACACACATGTTAGCATATTTCATAAATGTATTTTAAGTAGACATTGATAAGGGTAATAAATGACTCAGTGCAGGTTAATCTAATTTAGAAAATCTCTAAGATGAGAAGGATTATGGTAAACTAATAAATCATTTTTAATAGATTTACTGAATATAATCTATTCAAAGGGCTGCTTTGGTTAAGTAACTTTGGATAATTTGAACAAGGCTAGTACAAAATACAGATAAAGGCATAGGCAAAATTTGGTTGGCTTACCACTTTTCAAAAATAAATTATTTTTGAAAAAGGCTTTTATGGTCCTCTCACGTGCTAGACAAGCACTCTTCTACTGATCTACATCCCCAGCACTTTTTCTGTTTGATGTGGGACAGTCTCACTAAGTTTCTCTAACTTGCCCCAAATTATGATCCTCTTGACTCAGGCTTCTGAGTTAACAGGATGACAGGCATGTACCATTATGCCTAGCTTATAATTTTAAAAGAGATATGGGACAATTGAAGTGGTAAATGCCCATGATCCTAGAAACTTACGAGGTTAAGACAAGAAAATCATAAGTTCAAGGCCAGCCAGGAAAATTTAATAAGATCCTACCTCAAAATTGACAAGTAAAAGTACTGGG